TTGTGCCCTTTTTAACTGTTGTTTCTGCTCTGGATTTCAGACAGTGCTGCTGTAGAACTGGAATCAGAATCGGTAAGTTGAAAGAAATATAAAAGCAAATAACAATTAATCACCACAACACTGCAATGATCTTTTAATCTAATTACATTGTTTTGTTAGGTAAAAATTGATGGTCTGCTGATCGGTCTGTTCTTTCTGGGAAACATTTGCTTTTTGGTGGCACTTTTGGTTGGAATTGGGGTGAAATAAGAGCCTCAAAAGAATTGTCTGAAGATTTTTTTTTCTTTTGGTATTTTATCCAAATACACCTGATGGGAGATTGTGCACTGAAAGTTTGGACCCATTGAGATTGTTTTCTCTTTCAGTACAGTCTTCCTTGTTTTGTTTTCTTTTAGTGGATGTTTTTCTTCGATATTTTTCTTAAGCTTTCAGTTTCATGGCTAAACTTAAGTTCAATTACTGAAGTAAATTGGCAATCAGCATTTAATCAAACTCCATTTGGTCAGAACTGATTGTCCATTATAGAGTGCAATGATGATTTTCCACGAGCATTATAAAACTTTTAGTTGTTGATTTTTAGGAATCCTCGTTCCTGTTAGAGGTAAAGACCTTGTATTTGATTCCATGTGAGCTGATTTCTGTCATCCAATGTTTTCTTGTATTATGTTGTTAAGTCTTTGTTTCCTGTTATGTTGCTTCCTGTTTTATTTTGTGAGTCTCTTGTCTCTTATGTTTTGTCCGTGGTAAGTTTAAGGTGTGCTTCATACACCCATTTGTTTCTAATGCATGTATAGTCTTAGATTCTCTTTGTCATTGTGTTGGCTTACTTACATGTGTTTCTGTGGTTTTTGGACTTTGCTAATAAAAGGTCACTTTATGAGTTTTACCTTAAGCCTGTCTCTGACTGCTGCTGTATTTAAGTCCTGTGTCTCCCTCAGGCTTTGATAAATATAAAGTAAAGTAATGAATTTTTCTGCAGGCAAGCCAATTTAGCTACCTACCCCCC